CATGTCCCAACCACTGTCCCTCCTCTGGACATGTCCCAACCACTGTCTTGTAAACTTTTCCTTTGATCTTTGCTGACACTTTTGTCTCAAATCACTCCTGAAACTTTTCTCCATCACTCCATCCTGCCTGGACTCTCTTCTTCTCCTCTTCACCACACTCCTCATGTTCCTGGACAGTGGACCCCAAGTCCTTGAAGTCCTGCACCTTTGTGACCTCTGCTCCTTGTAGCCTCACTGTTCCACCGTCTCATCCACACACATGGACTCTGTCTTACTACGACTGACTTTCATTCCTCTTCTAAGCAGAACAGGCTGAAAAAGCAGAGTGTAGTTAAAAGTAGTAGCTAAAGAATAGCAGAAAGGTAGCTGAATGCTACGAGCAGCATAAGACAACATCTCAATGTATTTTATCTGAGGTTTTTATTTTACATCAAGTTAAATATATTTAAATGTGACAGAAGCTAAAGTCATGACACGTTTCCACATCAAGTTTTGAGACGTGAAGGTTGGTGGTTTTAGCTTCATGTCGGCTGACGGACACGTGTTGTCCCGTCAGCACGGCTGCCTGTTTTTCTCTCAATGACTCGGTGGTGTTTGAGCAGAGCTGCAGATGTTTTCCTTCATGATGTTCTGCAGCTGACTGGCAGGAGGTTTTACTGAAGCACATCGCCGAAGACGAGCTGCCGGCCGTCTACGGGGGTAAACTGACCGATCCTGACGGAGATCCTCGCTGTCGGACCAGGGTGAGTCAACAGTTAGTGACGCACGGTGCCGGAGCGCTGCGAGGTTGGAGGACACGAGTATCCATCACAGACACCCCCTCTGATTGACAGGTCAGAGACAGCGACGTTCTTTAAGAGGTCTTGATGGGACGCCCTACAGCAGAGTGTCTTATCGCTCCATGTCTCTGGGAGCAGGGCGACTTTGAGCTCCACGTGGTTCTTTGTCTTGATCATACGTCAAAGTTTTCAATCGCTCCTAAATTAGTCGCGGTCTTCTCGTGTTTTCCGGTCGAAGCTGATCCTGGTTCTGCTAAAGGTTTCTTCCTCATGAGGGAGTTTTTCTTTCCACTGTCGCCTTCATGCTTGTTCAACATGAGAGTTCAGTGATGGAGTTAAACTCAAAGCTGCTCCTCAGATAAATAATGTTCAATTATTATTTTATACATGAATGTTTCTGTTCAGCCCTGAGACGACTTCTGTTGTGACTTGGAGCTTTAGAAATAAACTGAACTGAATCTTTACTGCTGCACGTCGCTCTGCCGCACGGACCGAGAGGAACAAGACAGACCAGACATGATGCCAGATGTCCTGCAGACCCACAACCCAACAGAACCGAGCAGATGAGCAGGTTAAAGCCAGTTCCTCCCTCAGCTGCGACCGCTGGACACCGTGTGTTTGCTGCCCTGACCGTTCTTCGTGTGCGTGTTGGTGGTGCACGGTAAACATGAACATGAGCAGATCTGGACCAGTTTGAATAATTATTATCGCTCACTGGTCATACTGGGCTGTAGCCTGGATCGAGCTGCGATTCGGTGACTCTCGAGTCTCCAGAAAGTCTCGAAACGTTTGCAGCGGTTCTCCATTTCTTCTCCTGAGTGTCTGTTTCAAACTGAAGCGACAAGACGCTCAGCAACCGCCTGGAGACTCGCTCGTAACGCTGCAGTGAGCTGTTGACTCCATCGCTCGTTCTACGTGGCCTCCGAACACGCTCTCAGAAGAACCACGCACAGCTTGTGATGTGCACTTGTTCTTTGTGCAGAACCCTGAGATGACGCTCTAGAAATCAACTGCTCACATGAGCCGCTCCTTGCTGATGGTGCAGATCCACCATCTGGGCCCTCACTTCCTGTTTAGGCTTAACTGGAGGTGTTGGACAGGAACAAACTGGTTCTGTGGACCTGTGAGCATTTTTCGTTTCTTTTTCATTCAAATGAAGCCATCAAAACGTTAAAAACTGCTCATGTAAAACCATATTTTCCAGCCTATAAGTCTCATCAGTCCAAAAATGTCTAATTGAAAAAAAATCCATAAATACGTCGCATCTATTCTGCGTCATGTTTGTTACGGCTCACAGCTGACAACCAGGAAATGTGGGTCGGTGTTGTGCCAAAAATCGATTGGCTGCCAAATGGCGGGAGCGTGCACGGGAGGACTTTAACAAGATTAACACTTAAAAACAATTATAGCAAAGTATGTCTCCATCTAACTTTCCCTTGATAAATGCACTTCAATGGTCAAATCAGCTGCATTTCAAAAGCCGATACGCGGAAGCAGGAGCACGCAGAGGGACGACTCGCTGTGCATTTCTTCAAAATTTAACAAGATAAGCACCTAAAACAATCATTTGTTTGCTCGACTTTATAGTAAAGTTGTGTCTCAGGTGAACTTTTACTTAATTAATGCACTTCAATGGTCAAATCTGCTGCATTTCGCCAGGGCAGCGCAGCAAAATGAAGCAGATTTGACGGTTGCTCCAAGCAAGCTGGACGAAGGTGGCAGGCTATGGCAAGCCGATTGTGTCATTAATAGCCACTTTTACCTATTACATAGCACAACGGCATGCCATACCACTCGAGTGCCATCTAGCAGCTGAAAATGGTAGTGTTCAACATTTTCAGTCAGAATGAATGAAAACAGTCATAAAACTGGTTTATGAATATGGAAAAAATCCATAAATAGGTCACTTTGGTGCATAAGTCACAGGGTATGTAAATTAGACAAAAAGGTATGACTTATAGGCCAGAAAATATGGTACTGTGACAGAACTCAAAGCTGCTGTTGGTGGATACGAGTCAGACTCCAACTTCAGCCTCTGACACCTGACTCAACTGTTCAGCTTTAATGAGCTTCCTGCTGTTCGGCTGCTTCGCCTCCTGTAGTTTACAGCAGCTTTGCTTCAGCTGAACTGTGTCTGGATGATATGCAGCTGAGATACTGCTGGTTTTAATTTGAATAACAAACAATGTTTCATGTGAGCTCTTTAACCAACAGATTTTCTTGTCCTGCACACAAATCATTTTCATAAACAGCAACAGATTCGTGTCCCGTCCTACCGAAGGCTGAAACTTAATCACTGGAGATATATTAAAAACCAGGCTTGAGTCACGGTGTGTCATCAGGTCCTGGTACACATTACTGATCCAGTTCAAAACAATAGAAGGACTGTTTGAATCGATTCAGCATGGCTGTACAAACATCGAGTAGTTTAACTGCTTGTTCTTGTTGAATGAAAACCTTTGTACATGTCACTATAGATGTCATGGGCAGTGGTCCCGTGGACTCATTGGCAGTGGTCCCGTGGATTCATGGTAGCTTGTAGTGGTCCCGTGGACTCATGGGCAGCTTCTAGTGGTCCCGTGGACTCATGGGCAGTGGTCCTGTGGACTCATAGTCAGCTTCTAGTGGTCCCGTGGA